GTAGCTTCTACCTTCAAAAGCTACAGTGCTTTTTGTTGAGTCCCAGGCTGTGGGTAAAGTCAGTGTTTCATGGTAACTAAGCTTTGTGCAGACTTTTCAAGGGGCAAACTATGGGAAACTAAGCTTTGTGCAGACTTCTCAAGGGGCAAACAAGCCCCTGCAGTTACAGCTTGCTCAAAGTGGTATAGAATGGAGGTGAGGTGAGTCGTCTTCAACCTGTCAGGTTCAGCTGCTCATTCTTCAGTGAAGGATCTCTGGGCTCAGTGGCAGAGCACATGCTTTCCATATGTGAAAAGGCCACTATTTCAACCTCTGGTATCTCAGAATACCACAGTATTGGTATAGGCAGGTCCATGGCTTGACTTTGTATTTGGCAAGATCCTCTGTGTGCTTGTGTATTAAGCTTCTTTGAGTGTTTGAATTATGGGGCATGCATCTAATATGAATAAATAACACTTTCAGGAATGCCACCTTCTGGAACCAGTTTTTTCCAGACATTGGAGCGCTTATACATATGTGTCTGTTCCCTTTAGCTGACTGGAGTACTTGCAATGAAAAATCCAGAAGTGCAAATTTTGTGTGTATTCTTTGCATATTGCTTTGCTTTGGGAAGTGTAAGTTGGGAAAGTCCACCTTTCCAAATGCAGACTGAAATACAAACTGAATCAGATTTCTCCCCCTCCCTAGGAAGAACATTAGGGTTGTCTCTTTTCTCCAAAAGGGTTTTGAGAAATGTGGGGTTGGTATATAACTGCATCTCCAAATTCCCAATGTATTGAAACCTATTGATCATCTGTGTCTCTGGCAAAAGAGGCTCCTTAGGACATAGAAACCTACTTGTCCTAGACTTGGGATAGCTTTGCATCTGGAAACTGGCAAGAAACTACCTGAAAGCTGTTGACTGACCTGCCCAGATAAAACTGGAAAAACATACTTTGGCACTCAGCTATTGGTTGGCGCTGGTCTATTTTCTTGATCTGCTCACCAAAGGAAGTGCCAAGGCAAATGTTGCATGGCTTTATTTTCCAACGCTGGTGCAGCCCATAAGCAATTTGTGCTTGGGGGATTCCCGAAAAGTCTTGTGCCTCTTCAAAAATTGTGACAGGCTTGCATTGTGCTGGGTGAGCTGCGAGCATGCAGGCTGCGAACATGAGCAGGCCTGCTGGCTGTAATTGTACCAAGAAAGGGGAAGCAAAACATACAGACCTAGCAATCATGGCTTTAAGACTACCTTTGGAGTCTGAATCTACAAAATGTTGTCCTGGAAGATCAGTCTTGCTTATATTCTGCTTCGCTTCTCCAGTCATAAGGAGCATTTGCTCAAATGCCAGTGGGCATGCCTTCAAAAGAGGAGATCCTTCGGGAGATGTTGGGTAGAGCTAGACAGAACACTGATTTTGGGTAGTTTATCACCTAGGCATCTATAGTCGTTTAAAACTGCTAAACGGATGACAATGTTTTAAATGAGCACACATAACATAGCTGCATCTGTTTTGAGAAGAAAACAGTCACAAGACACTGATCTAGAACATATTATGGTTCTAGGCCATGGACCCATGCCCCCCTGCAACCTACTGAAAGTAGCTGGCAGCCTTCTGGCTGCTTCTCCCAGTAGTGTTTACTACAACCAGTAGCTGAAGAAGCAGTTGGGGGGGGGAGGAAGAAAGTTGTGGGGGCCCTTCCCCTGCTATTCCTCCAAAGGTAGAAGCAACCAGTTGAATAACATCTGTGTTCTTTCCTTGACTCATACAACCGTTGGCACGCATGTGGTCATGAGACAACAGATCAGAATTTGTGCTTAATAGAAGAATGGAGAGTAACAGGATTGAGAACTAGCTCAGGTGCAGCTACATTCTAAGGAGTGGTCACATGATGTCAAATCACCTTTTGAACCTCTGCCTTGTGCCCTGTTAACACATGGCACAGAGCAGAACTGCTTATTAATTCTTTTTTTAAAAAAAACACTGTTAAGGTACATCCCAAGTGGATTTAAGCCCATTTTGTGAACTCCATACAACCATACCTTAAAAAACAACAACCAGGCTCTCTCACCTTGGCAATTGTAGTATATACAAAGGTGTTAAGACAGGTAGTAGTTTTACATCCTTGCAAAATTTCAGTTGCAAAGATGATGGACTTGGGTGCCATGGCCAAGCAAATGAGTGCAGAGGTGTGGACTGTATTTGTGCCACCTCAAGACAGATCTTCAGGCTGCCTGGCCTCTGACAATTCACCCCTCTCATGGTGCCTGCTGGTGCAATGAGTTCCTTCAGCTGAAATTAAAGGAGGCTGAGAGTGCTATCTAGGAGGGAAACTGTGTTTCTTGGCCTCTATCTACTTGGCTGAAGAGTATCAAAGGAATCTCAATCACTAAAATATTAACTTTGTGAAGCGGCAACCTTTGTACCCCTAAACAACCTGGTCAGCATTCCACTTGCTTCAGCTGAGTGATAACAAGCAAGAAGTAAGCATTCCATCTTGAAGAGAAAACAGGTCTCTAGAAAAATAAATGAAGCTGTTCATTTAATTTTATTTGTTTCTACAAATATTTATGGGTGGCTCCCTCATATGAAATATCCACGTGGCATACAACAAAAATTGCACACATAATGAAATGCTGTAACATACCTAATTATAAAACTGGCAGTGCGTCTTGAAGATTTTAAACAAATTGAATAGGCCTGTTTTTCTAGATTAAAATGGGGGCTGTGGGAAGTAGACTATGAGGCAGATGGAAGTGTAGTCTTCGTGGTATTCTGGAGCAAGGAGGGGCTTGTACAGAATCCCTTCCAAATCCCACACTTAGGCTTGGAATTGGTTCACCTCTATGCAAAAGCATGTGGATGGCACTGCTGCCGCCATTGCTTGTCCTTACCTGAGCATGCAGCTGTCTGTTGCTTAAAACAACTGTGTCCCTTACTCAGTATAGCTATGTTGATAGGGTACCTGCCTTGCATCAGATTCCCAGCGCTGTGCAGTAAGAATAGACTGCATAGAAAAACACTGAATTATATTCTTCGTAACGCTTGTATCTTAAGGTGCAGGGCTTGAAGTGTCTTGTGAAAGCTTTGGATTGTTTGAGGCTGTATGTTATCTGTTGAAACATCTTCCACAAATGGCTGAACAAGTGACTCACTGGTCCACTGAGGCAGTGCTGTATTGCAGATTTGCTGTATTGCAACTTCAAGTCTGCAAAGCGGGGCTACTCAAAAGTAAACACACACCCCAAGACCACAAGCGTTTGATGCCTGCATCCCATGCCCTAAATACTTTGAAATACAGCCTCAACTAGAATTTCTAGGAGGTCAAGCTCAGCAAAAGCAACTCTGCCAACATCAGCCGGCATTTCAAAGCTGAACCAAATACCTGCAACAGGAACGAAGGCCAGGTCTCATGCATATGGACATTGCATAGCTAGTAGTGACCTTCCTGGCCTGCAAACTGTAGATGTCCAAAGGCTTGCAGCTGATCAATGCATGTAGAACTAGTCATATAGTGGAGCCTTCCTGGTGCTGTACCACTGAAAGCCCAACCCACCGACCACATTCAAATAACACTCCCATAGTGTAAAAACCAGTGGGAGTGGTAGCTAGGGGATAAGAGTTCTCAAGGAGTGTACAGATGACCATTCCATATTTTAAAGTGGTGCAGACTGCATAATATTATTCCCCGTCCATTACTTCTAAGGAATTGGGATCTGCTGCATTTGTGTACCATAACTTACAAAGTTTCCCTAAACTGATGGCTAAAGGTAGCATTCTGAAGAGCCCTAGAGAAGCTTAATGAACTCCCTTGCACAAACCAGAATGAGGTCCCTATACACAAAGATGTGCAACCTCAGTAGCTACTTGAAGCATGTGTCTTGGTGACTGGTTTACTGCTGTTTGATCTCTCCTCTACAACAGACCCCTGTCTTCAATTCCCTTGGAGAAAGCCCCCCCCCCCTTTCAAAACCAGCAGAGTCTCAAAAGTGAATGGAAGACAGGATTATAGCTTGCAATGTTTGTGCCTTGGGTAGGTTAGTTGCTTGCTAACAAATCTGTTAGCATGATGTTATTCTGCTAACAGATGGCAACGAACAGGAGATGGAAGGGCCAGCATCACTGATTCCACCCACGTTCATTCCTATGCAAGCTAATACTAGGCAAAGGCACATGCTTCATTTGTGCAGCAGAATGTCTGGAGTATCCCCCTTCAGCATATCGGCTGCAGACTGTGATCCACAGTCAAATGAAGTGATTGGCGGATGTGTTTCATAAGAAATACCTTTGAGAACCTCTATTTACCCAGCGGCAGGATGGCGGGGAGTGTGCAAGAGTCCTTGGTCCGTGTGTGATGGTCTTAAAGTGCCTTGTCCTTTAGTATTGGTGGGGCTAGATTGTACACCCATTCCCAGCCTCAACAGGTGTCCCCACTTAATCTAAATTCTAGCACTACTGTAAACTCTGAATGGGGCCTGATATGGGTTTGTACCCATATCGTGGATGCAACCATCATTCTGTAAAATGAAGGCGTTCGTTATACAGCATGCCGGGGTCCTTGTAACTGAATCACATCAAGTCTTCATGAGTAATTCTTCACTGCGTCCTAAACTTATTGTTGAAGGAACATAAGCTCAGTGGCAGAGAACATAATAATAATAATAATAATAATAATAATAATAATAATAATAATAATAATAATAATAATTAATAAATATGTTGCCCTTCTGACTGGGTGGCTTCCAGAAAAAACATATAAAAACAATAAAACATTTTTTAAAAATTATCTGTGTTGCATATATGTATGTTTTGCATATAATAGGTCCAGTTTCAGTCACTCTCCAACTCCAGTTCAAAAGGCTCAAGTAACAGATAAGGACCGCCTTCTGTAGTGCTGTGCTGAATGAACAAATAGTCCTGATATAAAGTATCATTTTATATTCCTGTTTCTTGAGAATTATGCCTTCAATGCAACACAGTGGCAACACTGAATTGAATCCCAATTTTTGTCTCCTGAAGGTCAGAGTAGTATGCCTGTCCGCTGCTAGCTGGATTCCAGTCACGTTACCAAGTGCCGCATTTGCTCCTGGAGTTGAGAATGGCCTCTCTCACCATGTCGAACGAAGTGGAAGCAACTAGTGGAAACAGTCCGCCTGCCCAGCAACAGGCACCACCAAAAACACAGCCTTTCAAAAAGGAGAAGAAGAAAGGTAAGGCAGGAATGGCACCAGGAGGCAGGACAGCTCTGCAGCTCCTAAGGGAGAGGTCGTCAAACTAAGGCCCGTGGGCTGGATACGGCCCACCGGGCTCACTAATCCAGCCCGCGAACCTTGCGGTCAGTCCCTGCGCTAAACAGGCACGGTGCAGAGGCCTTGCCGCACGGAGACTGACTTCCGTGATGCAGCATGGCTTCTGATTGGCTGCAGGAAGCTCCTACAGCCAATCAAAAGCCGCGGGTGCCTCTGGGTGGGCAGCGACACTGGCACGGTTTCTGATTCAGAAGCCACGGACGCCTCTGGGTGCCGCCCCTTCCTTCCCGCTGAGGTGGCCGAGCAGGAGGAAGCAGCTGAGCGGGAAGGAAGTGGGAGCGGCGAGAGGGCTGCCTCTGCCACCCAGGCCAGCAGCATGAGCTCTGTGCCCCGCTGAGACAGAGGACGCCAACACCACCGAAGACTAGGCAGTGTCGGCGGCTGCGGGTGGCATAGGTGGGCGGGCCTTTCGGGAAGGGGGTCTTTCGGGAGGCGGTGGGCCCAGCCCCCCACAAGGTCTGAAGGACAGTGGACCCACCCCCTCCTGGGAAAGTTTGCTGACCCCTGTTCCTAAGGAATTGCCAATAATTAAGAGTTGCTGAAAACAAGCAGCAGTTGCTGTGGTAAATACTCGATGACAGGCAATGTAGTCAATTAGTTCTCAACATTGCAACCTTATGGTCACAAAGCCTGTCCATCATTAGCCCTTCTGACGGGTTAGTAACAAAATCGTGGAGACTCCCACCTGCCCAACTGGTTTTTGGTTTAAAAGGAGTCATAAAGCAGAGCGTTGAAATAAGCTGACAAGCAGGAGTTTGGCAGAAGGCTGCCACCTAGGGGCTTTGCCTTGGATTGCACAGTCACAGGCGGATCCGTGAGTAAGCAGACAGTGGGCAAGGAATCTGCCGCAAACTCTGGCTCTTTACACCTAAAATGTTTGTGAGTGGATTCATCCTACTCTTACCCAAGAGCATTCCATTGCCAGTGTGGAGATGAAACTGTGATTACATACTGAATGTTGGTATAGCTGATGGTGAAACACACTACTATATTAAATTGCATCATTAGGAATGAACAGAGGTGCAGGTTCTGGTTTTTTTATAGCCTGTGCTGGACAAACAAAAGCACATGACCATAAAACTGGTTTTTCAGGACCAGAAAAGACAGAAGAATTTCTCTTGGCCAGATTTCAAGGTGATGGTGTAAGATACAAGGCCAAACTGATTGGTATTGATGATGTCCCAGAAGCAAGGGGAGACAAGATGAGTCAGGATTCAATGATGAAGCTGAAGGTGAGTCTCTCGTATTTCCTGCTTCTTCGTTTTTTTAAGGTGCCAGATGATGATTGTAGCTTCATGGGGGCTAGGGATTACTAATGGCACCCTTGCAAAACTGCAGTTCCTAGAAGTTATTTTAGCAATGACAATTATACAACCTTTCCTCAAGTATCTTAAACTTGTGGAGAATGGGTCCAAGCACATACCTGCAGGTTGCTTATAGTGCTGATTCAGATAACTATAAAGTGGCAAAGTCGAAAATTTCAGGTTATGTGGAAACATTGCTAGAACATTATGCTCTAGATGGAACTTGCATGCTGTATTAGGGCTACGATTTGTTCCATTTAGCTTCTTAGGTGGAATGTCACCACCTCATAACAGAATTTTGTTCATTTCCTCCTGCAAAACAACTTCATTCAGACAAATGAGTTCTTTCTTATGTATTGAAACAGTGCTGGTAAATTCCTCTGAGACATGACTGTTCATAACACTGTCCTCTGACAGTGTTGTCTGAAGGCCACACATGATGCCTTCATGTACTGAAAGACCCTCTGAATAGCCTCTAGATGTGGTGGTAATGCCTGGGGGCTGCTTGTCAACAAACACTTTTGAGTTTCTAAGTTTTACTGACCTGGAATGCAAGACAACAGTTGCAAGACAATCCCCCACCCACCCAATCATGCAATAAAATCCTAAAATGTGAGAGAACTGGGGAGCAGTATATAGCTGGTATTCGACTTGGCATTTTCATAACTCAGATATAGGGAAATTCAGATATGCTGAAATGAAGATTGCGTTATCCACTGGTAAGTGGCCATGTTGGCTAATAGAGAGTTGGAGTCCAACATCTGGGAGGGAAATGGATTCTCCATCCCTTACCCTAAGTGATAGCCGTAAGCTGCAATAAGTTTATATTGGCAGTACGTCTTGAATACCAAATTGTCTTTGCTGTTCCATTTGTAGGGAATGGCAGTAGCAGCCCGTTCTCAAGGACAGCACAAACAGAAAATATGGGTGAACATCTCTCTTGCTGGGATCAAAGTCATAGATGAGAAGACGGGGGTAAGTTCTGAGGAGGCCAAGCTGAACCCATTAGGAGAAACTGTCCATTCTCTTAATAATTAAAAAAAGTGCCAATCTAACCTAAAACTTGTTGGGGTGAAGAAACTTCTAAAAATGTGCTGAACTTAAAACAGCAGCTTTCCCATTAGAGACATTTCAAAGAAATGCAGAAACTGGCCCAGGCCAGTTAAGTTATCCATCTAGTTAATTACCCATCCAGGTGAAGTATTTCATAATGGACCAAACCCTAGTGCCAAACCCAGGGACGCGGACTTATAAAAAATATTGGGGGGCCCGGGAAAGCTCATGAATAATAAATAAGCTCATGAATATGCAAATAAAGTGGCTCCGGCCCTAAATAGGGCAAGCCACGCCCCCCCAGCCAGCCGATTGGCTGGCTGGGAGGTGTGGCCAGTCGGGATTCCCCTGTTCTCGCGGGGGCTGAAACCGCCAGGAGAAAGGAAATTCCCCCGGCAGTGCCTTGGCAGTGGCGGTGGTGCTGCGAAGCAGCGAGGCAGGAGCCCCCGCCCCCGGCGCCCGAGATTATTGGGGGGGCTGAGCCCCCCCAAAAAATTTTTTGAGGGGGCTCGAGCCCCCTCAAGCCCCATGGAGTCGGCGCCTATGGCCAAACCTCTAACGTGGGGACTGCTGTAGCTTTTCTAGCAAACCTTGTCTCATCTCACAGGTCACTTCAGCCCTATCTAGGAAATTGTGGCTGATGAACACCAAGTGAAAATTTTAATTGGGGCATTCTATTTTTCTTGGGCTAAAGGCTATGTAAGAAACAGGCTGCTTCCAGTCCCTACTGGAGTGTGTGTGTGTGTGTGTGTGTGTGTGTGTGTGTGTGTGTCAATGACTTAAACCAAAGAGTAAAACTTTACCATAAAGCACAAACTACTCCTAACAAAATAAAAAAAATCCTTCCAGTAACACCTTGGAGACCAACTAAGTTAGTTATTGGTATGAGCTTTTGTGTGTATGCACACTTATTCAGATAGAAAGCTCATAACAATAACTAACTTAGTTGGTCTCTAAGGTGCTACTGGAAGGAATTTTTTTTATTTTGTTTCGACTATGGCAGACCAACATGGCTACCTACCTGTAGCTACTCCTAACAATCTCTCTGCTATTGCTATAATCTTCCCAGTTCTGAGATACGGTCCAGAGTTGCTTCTGGTCATAGCATATGCACATGCAGTGCACACCTCAAACAGGGAGCCTAAAATATTTGAGCTCTCTTGATGCTGACTACTTTGTTGAATGGGGAGTGCTGAAACAAAAGTGAGATGGACTGGCAGCAGTCTTTATGGGGAAGTCAAATTTCCAGGGCACATTTAAGACAGTAAAACATGAACAAGTCGTTCTCATATCAGTGCTCCCTGCTGCACCATAGAACAGGACTAGAATCATGGGCTTGGAAGAAGGTTGACTTTGGACTTGGGGTGGAGGATTCTTGACTTGTGTAAGAGCAGTTCAGTGGGACCAATGGCATAAAAGGGTAGTGAACTCTGTTGCAGATCTTCAAACAGAAGAATAATAGGCACCTGCCGGGGGATGATCTGCCTCTGGATTGAGCAAAGGGTGGCCTACAAGACCCCCAGTGCAAGGTTTACACATTTTCAAGAGTTAAAAGTCTGGTACCATGTCATCCTCTTTGATTCCAGGTTATTGAGCATGAGCACCCAGTCAACAAAATATCCTTTATAGCCCGGGATGTGACTGACAACCGTGCCTTTGGCTACGTTTGTGGAGGAGAAGGGCAGCACCAGTTCTTCGCCATCAAAACAGCGCAGCAGGTAAAACTTTACATCGTGGGACCAGGGGTGGCGATGGGCTGCTCTTCAAAGTAGCATTCTGGGTGCATGTTCAATGCTGCACAGTACAAAATTGCAAATGGAAGCTGTCACTCCCTACTTAAATTGCAGGATTGACAAAATTTTCACAGAGTGTGGTTAAAACTAGGGAATCGATTGCCACAAGTGTTTTGGCCACCAGCTTGGAAGCTTAGATGTACTGTTAAATAGCTTATCTATGAGGCTTGGCATTTGCAACATATCTAATAGGTTGCAGGGGTTGGAGAAATGTTGAGCAAGACCAGTGTGGTGTAGTGGTTAGAGACTAAGACCTGGGAGACCAGGGTTTAAATTCCCACTCGGTTGTGAAGCTCATTGGGTAGCCATGGGCCAATCACCAACTCTCAGCCTGTTTGGGCATTTGTTGTTGTCATTTAGTTGTTTAGTCGTGTCTGACTCTTCGTGACCCCATGGACCAGAGCACGCCAGGCACTCCTGTCTTTCACTGCCTCCCGCAGCTTGGTCAAACTCATGTAGCTTCGAGAACACTGTCCAACCATCTCATCCTCTGTTGTCCCCTTCTCCTTGTGCCCTCAATCTTTCCCAACATCAGGGTCTTTTCCAGGGAGTCTTCTCTTCTCATGAGGTGGCCAAAGTATTGGAGCCTCAGCTTCAGGATCTGTCCTTCCAGTGAGCACTCAGGGCTGATTTCCTTCAGAATGGATCGGTTTGATCTTCTTGCAGTCCATGGGACTCTCAAGAGACTCCTCCACCACCATAATTCAAAAGCATCAATTATTTGGTGAACAGCCCTTTTTATGGTCCAGCTCTCACTGCCATACATCACTGCAGGGAAAACCATAGCTTTAACTATATGGATCTTTGTCGGCAAGGTGATGTCTCTGCTTTTTAAGGTGCTGTCTAGGTTTGTCATTGCTTTTCTCCCAAGAAGCAGGCGTCTTTTAATTTTGTGACTGCTGTCACCAGCTGCAGGGATCATGGAGCCCAAGAAAGTAAAATCTAGGGAACTCTAAACACAGCAGGGAATTGGAACACTGGAAGAAAATGCCCCTAGTATAGGCCTTGAATTCTTTTCCTTGAATTCTATTCCACTCCATTTGGAAATGAGCTGAACTGTGAATTCTGCCACAAAGTGGAAATCTAAGTCCTGCCCACTCACTCACTCACTCACTGCCTGTTACTCTCTTCTAGGCTGAACCTCTAGTAGTCGATCTGAAGGATCTATTCCAAGTAATCTATAACATGAAGAAAAAAGAAGAGGGTGACAAGCGAAAGGTAATGCTGCCTGTTGTTAAGTTTTCAGATTTTTAGGCTGCTCAGTAGCCATACCTAAGATAAATGAAACCTGCTATTGATCTAAAGTGGCAGTGACTGAACCATGAACTTGGTTGATCTAAGATAAATCTGACACGGCTGGAAAGGAGCCTGTCTAAACTTGGCAATACCACTTACTCCCAGATAAGTCCACTCTTCAAGTACAGAAGATCAGTCAACAAGGTAATGGGGTAAAAAGGAAAATGAATTCATCTATTTGGGTTGGAAGATCTGTTCCAGGGTGAGGGTGTAAAAAAGGAAGTAGGATGTTCAGCAACCCTAAAAGTATCAGTCTAGCCTGAAGGAAACTGAGCACAGGTTAAAGGACAGGCTAGGAGCTTGGAGGTTCCTCAGTCTGCTCCTTCCCATGCAGAGTTGCCTGCAGTGCAATCTGAGTTGCATCTCAGCAGTTCCAACATGTAATATGATAGCCCTCCCCTTAAGGGAAGGGACCATAGCTTGATAGTGGAGAACATTCCTTGCACCAAGCAGATCCCATCCATAAGTTGTGCATACTCTAGTTCAGGTAGCAGGTGATGGGGCAGACATTGGTCTTGGACAGTGGCTGGGCAACTGATGCCCATCAGAGTAGACATGGACAAATATATAAAGCTTTTCTATAAATGTTGATGGTGTGATGTCTTTTTCCCCCCTTCAGAATGAAGAAGCCAATAAACCTGTTGAGGTAAGAAACAAATAAGTCTTTAGGCCTGAAAATCAAATGCAATTGCCTGTTAGACTTTTAAGTACATTTGCTGCTTACAAACAGTGTGAAAATGGGGAAAGCTTATTCTTATTGAGTGTGTAGCACAGACCAAAACACACTCACTCTCTCTCTCCTTTGTTCCAGAATGGCAGTGATGAAACAGCTACTGAACGAGCCGACAAAATAAAGCTGGTATGTGATTCCTTTTCTCTTCTGTATTATAGAATCATAGAATCATAGAATCATAGAGTTGGAAGAGACCACAAGGGCCATCGAGTCCAACCCCTTGCCAAGCAGGAAACACCATCAGAGCACTCCTGACATATGGTTGTCAAGCCTCTGCTTAAAGACCTCCAAAGAAGGAGACTCCACCACACTCCTTGGCAGCAAATTCCACTGTCGAACAGCTCTTACTGTCAGGAAGTTCTTCCTAATGTTTAGGTGGAATCTTCTTTCTTGTAGTTTGGATCCATTGCTCCGTGTCCGCTTCTCTGGAGCAGCAGAAAACAGCCTTTCTCCCTCCTCTATGTGACATCCTTTTATATATTTGAACATGGCTATCATATCACCCCTTAACCTCCTCTTCTCCAGGCTAAACATGCCCAGCTCCCTTAGCCGTTCCTCATAAGGCATCATTTCCAGGCCTTTGACCATTTTGGTTGCCCTCCTCTGGACACGTTCCAGTTTGTCAGTGTCCTTCTTGAACTGTGGTGCCTCCCCCTCCGCCCACCATGGGACCAGCAGGGAATCCATGTGGTTTCCAGATAGTCACCCACCCAGGCACTGACCAGCCCTGGTTGACTTCAGCAAAATAGTGGCCTCTTCTGCTTTGAGACCACACCCAAGGTCCCTAGAGAGGTTTCACATATGAGCAGCCAGTCGATTGACTGAGCAAACTGAACTACTACAGAGAAGTAGACCACAGAGACTTAGACTTCCAAGCATGCTCTTGGTTAGATTCGAATGACCTTGTAGGCTGAGGTGTATGATAGATTTTAATTTTCTGTCCATTTTATTCTTAAAGGGTGTGGAGCAGATGGATCTGTTTGGAGACATGTCTACTCCTCCTGACCTGAACAGCCCCTCAGTGAGTAGACTTGGCTTTGTACTGTTGATAGCTTTTTAAATGACTTAATGGTAGAGGAATCTTCTAAGGACTGTCTTGGATACTTAGGGGTAGTTTCAGATGAGCAGTTGACTACCTATCCGTATGATTGAACTTTTGTATATATAAATGTGAACACAGTCCCACCCCCCAGAGTAAGGTGCATGAAATTGGGCCCGTTGCCCATTTGTACCTATTAGGAATTGCCATGTTGGCAGGATGGCACTGGCTTAGTAGAGGGGTAGCTAAAATGGTGCCCTTCAACTCCCATCATCCCTGACCATTGGCCATGCTCACTGGAACTGGTGGAGAGCATCTGGAGGGCACCATACTCGTTACCTTAGTTTAGTGGAAGAGAATATGCTCTAGAGATTGGCTCAGCCATACTAAATACACTATTCAGGGATTCGAACACTGCCACCAAAATCAAAGCTGTGAATCAGTATTTTAAAATCCCTACATACATGCAGCTGGATGCATTGGGTCAGGGAATATATGCAAATGTACAATGTGCTTCTATAAGATATTCCGAGCAAGGGTTGAGAAGGAAACTAGAAGTACGAAGCACTGAGAATCCTGGTTGGATTTATGTGACCACAGTTGCCGCCATGTTCAGGCTTCCTAGTCAGATGCCTTTGGGAAGATTGCAACTCTTGGGCGCAAGTACTTGTGGTTTTTCCAGACAGGCCGCCATGGCATTAGGGTTCCTATCCACGAGGAGGAGGAAGTTGATATCCTCCTGGGCTGAACCTAAATACAAAGGTAGGCCCATGGGGGTTGGCCAAGAGCAGACTGAGGTTAGTGGTTTCCATTTGCCCTAATGAACCAGACTCCACTCAACATTGTGTAAGCATTCTTCCTTTACCACAATTTCAAAATTGATGCTCCTGATCTTCAAATCTCCTGGTTGATTGTCCAATAGGTGCACAAAATTCTCTATAGGGTTACCTATCAAATGCGAGGGCACGGGAGTGTGTAGGTCATAGGTTTCTTATTTTAAGAATTGCTGGAGTCCATTGCCATTCTGCTTGCTCTGTGATTTTTAATAAGCACATGAGACTCTCTTGCACATTGTCTACAGTGTCTCTTCTGCTAATCAGTCTTCTCTCTCAAACCTAATAGGAGGAGGATAAAGAGATCCTGTTAGTGGATTTAAATTCTGAAATTGAGGCCCCTCCGACTTCTCTCAAAGAGGAGGATATTTTCTTGAATGACATCGCGCCTCCCCTACCACTGTCCAAGCTGCAGCCACCTTTCTTGCCTGACAATGCTTTCTCTGCAAATCTCAGCTTCTTCCCCACCCCAAATCCCGACCCTTTCAGGGATGACCCTTTCACGCAACCCGACCAATTGTCGCAGCCCCCAATCGATTCTTCTCTGAAGCCTCCCAGCCAGAAGATGGGAAGTGTTGTGACTAGCCCCATGGGGAGCGGTGGTATGAATGGGGATGTAGACTACTTTGGGCAAGAGTTTGACCAGATCTCCAACCGAACTGGCAAGCAGGAAATGCCGGCCAGCCAGTGGCTGCTTGAGAGTAAGCCTGCCCAACTAGCCGCGAGGACTCCAAATGGGGTGCCGGAGAGAGAACAGAACGGCTTCCCTGCCACATCCCCAGTAAATGTCTTTCTGGAGAGCTCTTCCAAAGGATTACCGGTGCAAAATGGATTACGGCTAGACTCCGATAGCAACGGCCAATTGATGTCGCATGACTCTATCACGATTAGCCCACCTCCCCAAAGCACCAAGCCAGGAAGAGGAAGGAGGACTGTTAAGGTGAACAATGGTGCATGCACAGAGTGGTGACATGCATGTTTTCCTACTTGGACTAGGTGAAGGGATTTCCCTCCCCCTTCCTCAACAAAACCTCTGCTGGCAGAGAACTAGCTTGCCTTCGGTCCTCTTATAAGCTGTCGGTCATAGCCATAGCAAACCTTAAACTCTGTGGCTTGGCTTTCTGTGTACATCAATCATTCTTTCTAATCCTAACTTTCCTCTCTCCTCCTAATGCTGCCATGTCTCTGTAGCTCTGGTAAGTAAGACGCTTAAACTCCTAATGCATGTGTTGAATGTAGTTTTGGGGAGATCATTGGTGCAGTTCAGTAACAAGGTGTCGAGGTGTTGCATCGGCCTTGCAATATAAAATATCTCTATTTGGCTGCAGCCCTTCTTGGTTGCTACTGTACAGAACTGACAGAGAATATTGTCGACCAAAGGTGGGTAACTTGTTGCCCTCCAGAAGTTGCTGGACTACAAAACCCATTGTCCCTGACCGTTGACCATGATGGCTGGGCCTGATGGGTACTGGAGTCTAAAACATCAGGTTCTCCATTTCTGCTATAGATGGGAGCCCACACTCACCTTTAATAAGAATTGATTTAACTTAGATGCACACTATAGAATTCTGAAGCCATTCAGCCTATAGGACAGTTTAGTGGGGTTGTAGTGCTTATAATAGCAATCTGGGCAATGTTTAACTTTCTGTACATATATATTCACTATGCCTGATGTGTCTTCCCCACCAACACATTTCCAGGGTTCAGCCAGTAGTGACCTGTTTGGCTCAGGCATCTTTGCTCCTGCAACAAGCACTCTGACAACTGCAGCGCCGCCTCCACCTGCACAGACCAACCCTCTAGACCTCTTCAACACTAGTGCTCCTGTAGCAGCACCCATGCCTGTACTAGGTTAGTAAAGTCTGTTCTTTCCTTGAGGCAGGGATGGGGAATCCTCTTTTCGGACTACAAGTCCCATGAGCACCAGTCAGTGTGGCCAATGGCTTGTGGGGTTGTGGTCCCAACATCTGGAAGGCCGTGTTGATGGATCTGTGTGTACCTTCGTTGCAAAGCAATTTAATGTCTGTATCTTGTCTTATGCAGTCTGGTTTTTGTGTTCAGTTCAAAGGCACATATTGTGAGATCCAGAAAGATGGGAAGGACTTTACTCAACAGGCCATAGGTTTCCCCACCCATGGTTTAAGCTTCTTAGGTGATCCACTTTATAAGCTGAGTTGTAGAATTTCTGAAGGTTAAAAAACAAAAAAAACTATCATAATTCTAGGGCATGATTTAAGTCCTGTAGAGACACTTGGGGGCAGAAATACCAGTAAGCTCACTATATTTTATGGAAAGATTTCTAGACTGCCTTTTCAGGGCATAACAGCTTCCACAAAGTGGTATATAATTAGGGGTGCCATACGTCCAGATTTTTCCAGACATTACCTGGATTTCAAAGGCAGAATTGACATCCGGGGGAATTACCAAAATTTACCTAAAAAAACTGCAAAGATTGCTCCGAAGTAACCGCTAGGCTAAACTGGCTCGTTTTTGCCAACAATAGAAGAATGGCAAGTAAAACTTATGGACTATGCAGAAATGGCAAAACCTGACGGCAAAACTCGGACTCTGACAATGAGAAGCTTAAAAAAGAATGGGAAAATTTATTGTGTATGTGCAGAAATACACACACAAGTTGGTATGTTGGCAGGTTTAGATTAAGCACTTGTAAGTAGTAAGGAATTAGAGAATGCAAAGGTGTAACAAGTGGATAAAAATGATAACAAAATGCAGAGAATGATGTAAGATGTAAAGAACCAGTAGAAGGGGGTGGAAGAAAGTACTGAGGTTTAAAGAACCTGAAAACGTTTGTAAAATAGTAGGATTTTTTTATTAGAAGTATAAATGTTAGATGGTGGTTTGATTTTTGTATCCTTATTTTATTGATTATTATTTTTGGAAAAATGAATACAAATGTATTTACATGAAAAAACCACCAACAATTTTGGGGATGTTCTGGTTTTTACATTTTGAAATATAGCAACCCTATATATAATTCCAGAATAAAATTTCATAATTAGGATCCTCAAGTAAACATATTGCATGCCCACACCCCCATAAATGAACAACACAGATCAATCCAGGCACAGAAGTTTAAATTAAATGGAGATTTGAAACGGTTAGCCTTGCAGTGCTAATATGCGGAGGGGGTGGGCAGCCTCTGCATCCCCCTTAAGTGTGTTCCTCCATCAGGTGCCTGTTTATGGTAGTGGAGCTGGCACTCGTCTTTAAGGTGAGCCAGGATTAACTGAGCAAAGGAACTTGTTTGGGGGCAGGAATAAACTGTTTAGGAACCATGTTGCCTTGGTAATGTGGCTCCTCTGAATGACCTGTTGGTTGAGCATTCGTTCTGATTTGCATGCACAAAGTTTATGCAGAGGTTAGATTAGATCTGCTTTTTTATTGAGCATTCATCATCTTAATTTGCTTGTGGGGTGTTCATACGTCTCCCTGGGAAGGCTCAGTTTCCAGGCATCTACTTGAATTCCTCCTGCCAAATGGTGATAATCAAGAGGCGTTAGTCTTTTTATTAGGATGGAGAAATAATGAAGCTGGGAGACTGTGTTCCTTGCAGGAAAAATGACTTTGATACCTTGGCAAGGCTTGTGACAAAAAAAGTTGTGGCAAGCCCAATATTACCAGGGGAAGGGTTTTGCCATTATACCTTTTTGAGTACAGTTTTCTGGGAATTTCAAGTGGGGAGAACACTGTAGCTGCTCAGGCACTGCTCGCAGGTTTCCCATGGGAATCTGATTGGCCACTGTGAGAAGTATGCTAGCCTAGATAAGCCTATGCCCTGATCTAGCGGGGTTCTTGAGTCTTTAATACAGATAGATACCTTGTGCTGATATGTACAATAATAATAATTTATTACTTATACCCTGCCCATCTGACCAGGTCTCCCAGACACTCTGGATGGTTCCAAACAGAATATTAAAAACACAATAAAACATCAAACATTTTAAACTTCACTAAGCTTCAGATCCTGAAGCTGAGGCTCCAATACTTTGGCCACCTCTTGAGAAGAGAAGACTCCCTGGAAAAGACCCTGATGTTGGGAAAGATGGAGGGCACAAGGAGAAGGGGGTGACAGAGGATGAGATGGTTGGACAGTGTTCTTGAAGCTACGAACATGAGTTTGACCAAACTGTGGGAGGCAGTGGAAGACAGGAGTGCCTGGCGTGCTCTGGTTCATGGGGTCACGAAAAGTCAGACATGACTAAACAACAACAAAGCAGGGCTGCCTTCAGATGTCTTATGAAAGTCATGTAGTTGTTGTAGTTGTTTATTTCCTTGACATCTGATGAGAGGGTGTTCCACGGGGTGGATGCCATTAGCAAGAAGGCCCTCTGCCTGGTTCCCGGTAACCTCACTTCTCTCAGGGTTGGAACCACCAGAAGGGCCTCAGAGCTGGACCTCAGTGTCTGGGCTGAACAATTGGGGATGGAGACGCTCCTTCATGTATACTGGGCCGAGGCTGTTTAGGGCTTTAAAGGTCAGCACCAACACTTTGAATTCTGCTCGTAAACGTACACCCCCCCCAACTAAGGTGTTTGTGGAATTGCCTGATGAGGGAGCAGCATAACCTATCGATGTGTGGGCTTTTTCTCCCCAGGTGGCCTGCCCTCAACTGCTTCTCCAACACCAGCCTGGGGTCCCCAACCTGCAATCTTCAACCAACCTTCTCCAGCCTTTCCTGGATCTGTTCTGGGTGTTCAGCCAGCAAGCTTCCCTCAGCCTCTTGGCTTTGACGCTGCTCCACAAGCTCCCAGCTGGAGTCAGCCACCATTGTCCTTGGGAGCCCCAATCCAGGCTCCAGCTACCGATCTCTGGGGTCAGCCTGTACGGGTTCCTCCTCCTAATGCGTGGGCCCAGCCCTCCAGCACTGGGAACCCTTTCCAGCCCTCCATATTCCCACCTCCGCTCACATCCCAGGGCCCCTCTCTGTTGCCTGCTAGAAGCCCTCCTCAGTTGCCTCCCAGAACTGCACCTCAGAAGGAGTTGCCCAAGAAGGAAAGCGATGCCTTCACTGCTTTGGATCCGCTCGGTGATAAGGAAATAAAGGATGTAAAAGCCATGTTCAAAGACTTCCAGCTGGCGAAACTGCCCGCCGTGCCTGCGAGGAGGGCAGAGCAGCAGCAACAACAAGGTCTGTCGGAAGCTTCTGGAGCCTTTGCCAGTTATTTCAGTAACAAAGTGGGGGTTCCTCAAGAGTTGGCTGACCACGATGACTTTGAAGCTAGCTGGCTGGCTACAAAAACTGGTGGTAAATCTGCTATATTCCTTGAGGGAACCTTAAAGTAGTGACCTTTCTCCTCCCCTCACAGAAGACACATACAGTGGAACCTCGGTTGTCAAATGTAATCCATTCCGGAAGACCGTTCTACTTCTGAAACGTCTGACAACCGAGGCGCAAAGGGCTGTCAGCAATTTCCATTGAGAAAACTGAAAAACATGCAGTGGAAGCCAACTGGCTTTCAAGGCGCGTTCAAAAACAGAAGCACTTACTTCCGGGTTTTCGGCATTCGGCTTCCAAAACATTTGGCTTCCAAGGTGCTCAAAAACCGAGGTTCCACTGTATTTTAGGTGGACATGATGCATATTTTTAAGTAGTCTCTGGTGCAGGTGGATGTGTGCTTTAACCTGGGATGGGCAGATGGTTAGCATCTTCTTTTTGGGCCCGTGGGCACATTTGAAAACTGGAGGAACAATTGTGGCTGCCATGCTACACCACAACTGAAGTAGAAAGCTTGCTTCAGTGACTAATTTCAGGGTGATGATGGTAAGAGGATTTTATGGGCCCCAGAGAAGGCCTCTGTGGGCACAGTCCATCCCCCCCCCAGGTGCCATATTGGCTGTGTAAACTAAATGGTGATGTCCACTGATACACCTGCAATGTGTGCCCTCAGCAGAAAAACACAGCACTTGGTGCCAAGTGTGGCTGTGTTTGCTGTGTTATGTGAAATGGGTGGCTTACAGTGTCTGGTGGTTTAAAAATAAGTCTGTTCTGCATTGCAGTGCCACCAAATCCTGTTCTCAGGCCAAACGCTGTGCCAACTGCCAAGCCTGCTGAAGACCTATTTGAAAACCCTTTCAAGACAGACCCTTTCGCTGTTCCATCGCTAAACTCGGTAAGTGGCAGAGCAAACTGCACTTCTATGTATCCGTGGCTGTACTTCTGTTGGCTGTAAATTATGGAGCACTTCTTTCTCCAGAATTGAAGCACCCCTGGGGTCCTATTGCCTTCTAACAAAAGCTGGCATTGTCCCCAGTTAACGCTCCCAAGTGCAGGTGGCTGGATAACTGTAAAATTATCTGTCTTGGCCCTTGCTATTCGAACATGACAGCATGGTCAAAAGTGTTTATAGTGTAGCTTAAAGCTGGCAGTCTGTACATATAAGAGTATGTTAACACCAACCGCTATGGCTTATTCATTGAAGGCTCCATGCATATATTTTTTAAAAAGAGGATAGATGTAAGAATAATCAAGCACCATTTGACCCGTGGTTAGAATGGAAGGCACATTCAAGCAACGTGCTTGTTAGCCATCAGCCTGCAGATTGCACTGATCCTTGACCAAAATAATTGGCAGGGGTTGTATGTTTGCATAATTCAGTGGCATGAGCAACACTTTGCTGTAAGACCAAACCACCATAGTATATGGTGCCATATTGGAAGCAATGTGCTTCTTTTTCCTCCACCTCATCCTCCTCCTCCTCCTCCTCCTCCTCTCTCTCTCTCTCTCTCTGTGTGTGTGTGTGCGCGCACACGTGTATACACACACACACACACACACACACACACCAATAACACAATACCCAACACCCAATCAGGCCCTTCATCTTGGAGCGTGTGGGAGAATAGTTTCTGAAGGTGCCTTGAACGGAACTGTTGCTTGCATCGCCTGTCACCTGCAAGAGATCTGTACTCTAGATATTGCAGCTGGTGATGGGGGTTGATGTCCCAACCACAACTCTCACTTAAGAAGCATGAACTGCCTCTGAACAAGCTGCTGCAACCTTACTGGATGTGAGAAGCTTAGATCAAATAAGATATTTGCCAACTCGACACAGCTGGCAAGCATAGGGTATTCAAGTATTTGCAACTTGCCTGCAAAAAGACTTCCCAATTGTGCATAAATAAAGCAGCCTCCTTCTTTCTAGACTGCCGTGCCGCACCAGCTGGCTTCTGCTCCATTTGGTGATCCTTTTGGAAACCCGTTTGCGTAAGCTTGATAGGTAAGTGTCTCTTAGAGGGGTGGCTGTTGATCCTGAACCTGACACGATCTTAAAAAGGCAAAACGGGGTCATGCTGTGACTGTGTGGAGAGTCAATGTGGATTAGCGGTTAGAGTGTTGAGCTAGGATCTGGGAGACCAGGATTCAAACCACCACAATTGGTGTTGTGTTATTTAGGGCTTTATAAATGTTGGGACCGTGAGCTCCTTACATTGCACACAGATGTGAACAGGCTACCAAAGTCACAACTCTGGCTGTATCAATGGACATTCTAGTGGTTGAGTCCTGCACTAAGGGGCAGTCCCAAAGCAGCATAGAAAACCAGCTGTGAGGTCATCAGAGCATGGAGCTATGGTTTAGGTTACGCCATCCACAAATGGTGGTAGCAAGCAAGCTGGTAAAGGATCAAGAAGCACCCAGAACAAAATATGGATACTGCTTTGGTGGGGAGCAGGATGGACACCAGTTTTGGCCCTTAATGTTGCTCAGTATAGATATGGTGCTAAGTAAGGAGATGGTTATTAGCTCAGAAGATGCAAACTCAGAAGAAGTTTGCATGTGAATGGTCTTTGGTTCAGTCCCCAGCATCTTTATGTAGGCCTGGAAAAGATTCCTTTCTGGAAACCTAGAGGGCAGCTGCCAGACTGTGTAGAATATACTGCACTATCTGGACCAGTGGAATAATAATAATAATAATAATAATAATAATAATAATAATAATAATAATTAATAATAATTAATAATAATAATAAAAATAATTTTATTTATACCCTGCCCATCTGGCTGGGTTTCCCCAGCCACTCTGGGTGGCTCCCAACAGAATATTAAAAACATGATAAAACATCAAACGCCAAAAAAACTTCCCTAAACAGGACTGCCTTCATATGTCTTCTAAAAGTCAGATAGTTGTTTATTTCCTTGACATCTGATGGGAGGGTGTTCCACAGGGTGGGCGCCACTACTGAGAAGGCCCTCTGCCTGTTTCCCTGTAACCTCACTTCTTGCTGTGAGGGAACCACCAGAAAGCCCTTGGAGCTGGACCTCTGCTGAATGATGGGGGTGGAGATTCTCCTTCAGGTATACTTGGCCGAGGCCATTTAGGCTTTAAAGGTTAGCACCAGCACTTTGAATTGTGCTCGGAAACGTACTGGGAGTCAATGTAGGTCTTTCAGGACTGGTGTTATATGGTCTCGACAACCACTCCCAGTCACCAGTCCAGCTGCTTAAGTAGCTACCTACATACCAGGTACAGTTACAACATTCAGTGCTATCTTCATACCATATACAGGACTACTATATTCTGAGCCACATAGTCCAAAAGCACCCCAGCAAAAAAAAAAAAGTGATGGTAAAGATTGACTTTTCGCATGCTGCTGCTGCTGCTGCTGCTATATCTACTCCCATTTGCACATCCCATTCTTAACCCATTACTTTTCAGTAGTTCCGCACAGCAAACCCCAAGAGAGCAAGTTTCATGTGACTCAGCCCAGTGGTGCTAACCATCTCCCTCTTGTTCTCTTGACCCAGGAATGAGTGCAAACCAGCAGAGGAATAACTGGACTGCCCATGGTGCAAGGATGTGATGAATAACTGGATACCCTCCCCTGTTACTGTCTTCACTCTGCATGCATTATCTGCCTCATTCTTCGCCATCCACCTTTGGATTGCAGTACGGTGCAATGAGTCCTTGGATTGTAGCCATCGGAAGCCGAGGGAAGGAATCTGCTAGAGACCAAACTGGAATTGGGTGGCGAACTTCAGCCCAAGTGGATTTAAGTAACTGAACACTGTGGTGTCTCCTAGGCCTTCAGCCAACTTCACATTTTGTCAAGGCTTGGGTGAACCTTGGCTGTCATTGGGGCTTTTACTGAACTTCCTTCTAGGATGAGAAACTGCACAGACTAATATTCACCTCCACACAAGGGGAAAGAACCGGGATATGAATTCGCAGCACTGAGTCACCTAGAACATAAAATGGTCTCTTGTACGTCTCCCAGCCTTAACTGCAAGCTTTAAAAACCAGACAGAACTCAATTTCACACCCTCTCTGCCTCCACCAATGTCAAAGTGAAAGCATGTTTGAATTGTTATGAAGATCATTCAATACCACCTTTGACTTGTAATGGGGAGGTTCCATGGACTTAATGTCCGCGCAGGCTGGCTGTGGTCATAGTCAAGAGACACACAAGCAACACCTTGGAAGTGATTTTTTTTCAATGCATCTAGTGTGTTGACTATTGACCCTCTAGCAAGATTCTTCAAACCAGGGTTGAAAAAGGATGGATGCAGAAATAGATGGGTGTCCTTTCAAGAAGGGGGTGGGTCCTGTGAATGTACTATCACTTGTAACAATTGAAAAGCAACTGTACTTGGAGCAAGCAAAAATTGCAATCATGGCAATCAAGGTTTAGTAGAGCTAGAACTCTATGCAGAGTGACAATGCATTAAAACAAGGGGCTTAATAACAAACTGAGCAGAACTGATGCAAGAGCATTGTGTGTGTCTCCTTTACAGCGTTTATCAGCTTGAAAATGGTATCCATGTTTAAATGGCTAGATAAATGCATAATGGGAGATCTGCTTTCTAGTAAACACTTTGTCTGTAGTGACCTGTTCTGCCGGTGAGTTATGCAATCTGCTCTGTACATATTCTACTGCACTTTTCCTGTAATGCAAAACAAAGCTATCAATTTATATGTATTTGTCTCTGACTGGAAATGTAGGAATTTTTGGATTGTGTTACATTGTAAAAAGTATTCAAATACTCTGACAATTAAATGTAACTTCATTTCAAAAGTGGCCTCTGACTCTAGGGAATTCGGTGAAAACTTGTAACGTGGTTTTCCAGAAGTAGGACACTTTGCTTTCATATGATAGTAGTTTTACTTGGGTAACCTGAGTCTAAGTCATTGAACAGGTGTGTAAAAGCACTTGTAACTAGAAGCTTATAAAAGCCCAGGGTCCTTGAATCGCCTAGAATGTAGACCCACATTGATAGAGTACTGCTTCCGTCAGCGCACTGGTATGCAACTTAGGCGGGTGCAGCGTGTCAAATCATAAGCCAACTTTTGGGGACCAGGGCACATTTGGAACTCTGAAAAATTGTAGGTGCCAGTCATAAAATGGCTGCCATAGTGAAATGCCACAACACAAAATGGCTGTCCCACTTCATCATGTCAAAAATTGGGACATGCGTCTTCTGGGATGCGTTCCCGGGTGAGTCACGTGACCTGTGCTGCGATCTCACTCCCCCAAAAAACACTTTTTCAGGACGAGAGCGGGGGGGGGGTGATAACATGGCAGCAAAAATGGCCTCTGTGATCTTGTGAGAAAAAGGGGGGGGTGTCCTGTTTTTTCCCAAGACATTTGGTGGGTATGTGCTCCCCACTAGCCACCTGCCCAGTTGGGGTGGGAGTGCACCTACATCAGCCACTGCTGTTCATGGGGGAAGCTCCTTGCATCTCTGTTGCTAAAGAATGGATAGGACAGTGAGCTAAGCCTCCTAGAGCAAAATATACATAGGAGGCTTAGTTTGGTCAGAATTGAATATACACTTCCAGAGTTAAAACTAAATACACTACTTCTGGTAAATGAGTCACCATAGCTGCTAGAAGGCCGTGAAAATTTGTGTCCCGTGCTTTATAGATTTGTCTCCCAATGTACTATCTGAAACCAAAGGAGTGCATTAGTTGCCAGATGTGAAATATATTGGCATTATTTTTAGCTCTCCTACCCCACTATTGGGGTCCAAAGAACATTGGATGCAGTCCACAGGATGCTGGAAAATAAAGTCTGTATGCAGGCTTAATTGACAACAGTAATATGCTGCTATTGAAAATATGGCTCTCAGCTAGGTTCTCACTGCTGCCTCAAACTTGGGGTAAAGGCTTGTAACATAGCTGGTGGCACAACAGTTAATATTTGGCTTTGACATCCATGTCAAAGTGTTGGTGCTGACTTTTAAAGCCCTAAATGGCCTCAGTCCTGTATACCCGAAGGAGTGTCTCCACCCACATCGTTTAGCCCGGACACTGAGATCCAGCACCGAAGGCCTTCTGGCAGTTCCCTCATTGCAAGAAGTGAGGTTACAGGGAACCAGACAGAGGGCCTTCTTGGTAGTGGCGCCCACCCTCTGGAACGCCCTCCCATCAGATGTCAAGGAAATAAGCAGCTATCCTATATTTAAAAGACATCTGAAGGCAGCCCTGTTTAGGGAAGTTTTTAATATTGAATGCTGTATTGTTTTTTACACTCGATTGGGAGACACCCAGAGTGGCTGGAGAAACTCAGCCAGATGGGTGGGGTATAAATTATATATCATTATTAACGTGTGATGTGCACCAAGATTGTAGTCCAGCATCATCTGGAGGGCACCAGGTTGGCAAAGGTCGGTCTACACAAAGGGCAGCTTGGTGGTAGTGCACAAGCTTTGCATACAAAGATCCCTGGCATCTCCTTGGGGATGCCCTCTGAAACCATGGACAGCTACCACCTGTCAATGGAGATAATATAATGTTGGATAGATTTAATAGTCTAGCCTGGTAGAAAATGGCTTCCTATGCACTGTCAAACGGGTAGTAATTCAGGCTCTCCTGATCCTTTCAACTGGAGATATTGGCAATAGCATTTTGATTTTGTGTGTGTGTGAACCAGATTTAACTCACAACTGCGCCAAAGTTCTTTCCTACTATTGCTGTGGGAATCACAAGGTTCTCTTTTTGAAGCATGTTTCCTGAGTATCCTGTACTGTTGGAGATTCCCTCCTCACCTGCCCTTTCTGCCCCAAAAGCTTCGCTCTAAGCTACAAAAAAAATGTGTTTGACGTTGCTTCCCAGCTACCGAGTTCAGGATGAAGTAAGTGCCATAAACAACCAGCTAGTAAATGTTTGATTTTTCTTTTGATTGGACGTGATTGCTGAAGAATCGAATGTCCCTCTGTATCTCTGAAAAGTAAACAATCTTACTCCAAACAAGGGCATATTTAAAAAAGACTTTGTCAAACCTTCTGTACAATCAGGTTAAGCTTAAGATTACTGCAGAAGTATGCAGGTATGGCACAGTGGCTCAGAAGGGAAGCCTGATCTTGCAGTGCCTTGAACTAACTCTAATCTCTGCTGCCTGATACTCTGTGGCGGATTTATGGCAGGCTTCCTCAGACTTGGCCCTCCAGATGCTTTCGGCCTACAACTCCCATGATCCCTAGCTAGCCGGACCAGTGATCAGGGATGATGGGAATTGTAGTCTCAAAACATCTGGAGGGCCGAGTTTGAGGAAGCGTGATTTATAGCATCTCAAATGTGTTTTCATTGGCCTCTGTGCCACGTACAACTCCCTCTTGAATCAAGCCACTACATGGATCCTGCTCAGCGATGCTACAAGCCCCACCAATCTAACCTGCCCACCCTCTTTGGGGGGGGTGAATATTCCACAAACCGTGGCACGTTCTGATGTCTGGTTTCAGCATTTGTGTAACTCTGGAAGTGTATACTCAGTTCTGACCAAACTAAGCCTCCTGATATGTATTTTGCTCTAGGAGGCTGACTTTGGTCAGAATCAAGTATACACTTCCAGTGTTAAATACATTACTTCTGATAAGTTAGACTCTTCTCCCCATGTATTAAATCTAAAGGTAAAGGACCCCTGGACTGTTAAGTCCAGTCAAAGGTGACTATGGGGTTGCAGTGCTCATCTCGCTTTCAGGCTGAGGGAGCCGGCGTTTGACCACAGAGAGCTTTCCGGGTCATGTGGCCAGCATGACTAAACCACTTCTGGTGCAACAGAACACCATGGCGTAAACCAGAGCACACGGCCGCCGCAGCAGTACCTATTTATCTACTTGCACTGGTGTGCTTTCAAACTGCTAGGTTGGCAAGAGCTGGGACAGAGCAATGGGAATTCACTCCGTTGTGGGGATTTAAACTGCCAACCTTCTGATCAGCAAGTCCAAAAAGCTCAGTGGTTTAGACCACAGTGCTACCCGCATCCCCATGTACTGTCTGAAACCAAAGGGGTGCATCGGTTGGCTGGTGTGATTCCTGCTCCCCCCTTCAGCTTTCTTACCCTCATAGAAGACCCTCTCCTTGTTTTGTCTTAGGTGCCCAGGGTGGTCAGCGCTTAACGGTAACGGATAATGCTGGTTCAGCACTAGGGACTTGTGAAATGCTCCACTTAAGTGGTCAAACTTGTTTTTGGGTGTGCCTACTGCGTTCTTTATTTCCGCATTCTTGCAAAGGTTCCTGATATGCTTTGCTTTTATAATAAAACAGTGCTGCTTTGTTCTCCCCCCCCCCCACTTTGTGCATAAGAACGTAGGGGGCTGGCTTACATCAAGGCAAACCATTAGTCCCCCCCACAGCTCCAAATTGTCCAGGCTGACTTACAGGCAGTGGGTCTGCAGGTTTTCGGATGCAGGGAATTCCCAGCCCTACCTGGAGATGCCAGGAACTGAACCCAGGACCCTCTGTATGCAAAGCACACACTCTGACCCTGAGCTACCGCCCTATTGTGTAATGCGTGGAATTGGAGAGAGGAAGGACAGGTGCCTGGGCTTTCTCTTCTACTCTTCTCTCTGCCTGGGGAATGCCCAGACCAGCTGATTTTCCAAATTCTTCACTGTCAACGAACTCCAGGCTGCTTCCCGAAAGTCAGCAGCAAGCTCTGCCTCCTTTTGGCAGGGGTTTTTATTTGTTTTTCTGCTAATCAATAACAAAAAGGAAAGGACAAAAAGCTTCCCGTTTGGGTGCTACGGTTTTGGTGTCGCAGTCGACAGCAGCACCATGAAAATCTTACTGCCTCTTATAGCGGCACTGTGCATCTTAGGAGCAAATGGCTTTGTCTCACCAGGGAGGAAAAGGTAAGTGAACTTTAAAATGAATACATAAATAAAAGAAAATCTGCATCGCATTTCCCGCAGCAAATGTAGAATTTGCTCTGATTTCTCTTTGGAGCCTGAGGATAGCGAATCTGAATGATTTCCAATTTCAGCATCAAGGTAGTATATGAGACCGCGGTTCTGTATATGCTTAGATTTTAATCAGCACCAATGAATTTAGTGGGAGTGGTTTCCAGTTCAAACATGAAAGGAAGATCCACTGTAAGGTTTCCCAGGAAGGAACATGGCTCTTGGGATGAAAAAAAGTCCTGTATTTTGGACTGCCCAGTCTAGTTTTGAAGATAGAAGCATCATAAGAAAGGAGAGCAAGGACCTTAAAGTTCTCCATCAGTGGTGAGTGCGTGGAGAGCAGACTGAGAAGGCGCCAAGTCAAGTCACCTCATTGTCGCAGGCTTCCCCACTATAGCAAGATGGGCTGTAAATATTTCTGCCTTTGCCTCAGTGTCCATAAAAATCAGCATATGTGTAATGCGTATGAGTTGCTCGTGCGTAAACTGCCGCCTCTCCAGGCTAAATTGCCTTGTTAAACCTTTCTGACTGCACAGCCCTTCTCATCGTGGCTGCCTCAGTCGCTAGCAGAATCCGTCAGTGGACGTTTCTTAAACCTCTTCCAACATAAAAGTTGTTTGACGCCCAGTCTCCTCCTTCTCTCACTGAGCGGGAGTCTTCTGCGCAGGGAGGGCGTGGGTAGCGGAGGACCTGTGCTCTCCTCACTGATGTCCAGTGAAGAGTCCTGGAGCCCTCTCTCCGATTCCCCCATCTGCCCCCCTTTATCCCTGGTGTTGCGCTGATTTGCTTCCCCCTCTACTGAGCTGCCTCTCCCCCTGCTGCTGGGTCCTTCGCCAGCATCATCTGGGAGCCTCCCCTTCACC